AGTTCTCTCCCACCAGCTCCTGGTAACACTGTGCTTAAAGAGAATAAATGGGAGTCGCTCGTCACTGGACATTTTCCTGTTACCTGGCATATTACAATAGTTAAGACTCTGAGTTATTGATTTTTAAATAAGATTGATTCCCTGAAGTCAATGCTTGCTTTTTTTTTTTCTCCCTTGGATTTTGAAGAGAGAGCGTGGGGAAAGATAACGACCACATTCTTCCAGGAGATGTGTGGAAGTCTGTAGCAAGCTCTTGCTGCTTTTATATCCCAGTTGGACAAATTCTTACTAAGTTTAAAATAGAAGACCCTACCTTCTGATTTATTTCTTGCGATCGGTGCGAATGGAGGTCTTTGTAACCGCTTCTTTGTTTCGTTTTGGCTCGTGCCCAGTGCTGTATTAGTTTTCTTTATCCTTTTTCTGAGGAAACAGGAAGCGCCATCCTTGCCCGAGCGTGAATTGCACTAATCTAAGGGTAGCTTTCTGTACAAATGGATTAAAAGTAATAGTAGCCTCAAGGCTGAGATTAATTATATTATCTAGCAACTGTTAAATTAATGCAGATTTCTACAAAGGCCTGTGCCAGTTGCTTCCATTTTCTGCTTGACTGATTCCTGTTTCAGCTCGGAACAGAACCTTTCAAACGCAATCCAGGTGCAGTATAGAAATACTTGAGTTGTCATTTTGAAGATTGATACCATTTCAGTTGAATATTTTGATGTCTGTGGAAATATCCTCATGTGTTTGTGTATTAAATTTTTTTTCTTGTTTCTGTTGATAACGGCATCAGAAAAAACCCGCTGTACAACATTGCCTGTTTTTCTTTAGGGGTTGTTTTGTGAAGGTACCTCGGATGCTAAATTCCTCAATGTCTGGTTTTCCTTTCCTGTTTTTTAGGGCAGGTGACATTACTGAGCTGAAAATTCTGGAGATCCCAGGGCCAGGGGACAGCAGACAATGTGGGGACCTGCAGCAGACAGACATGGGCATCCCTGGTGTCGGATGCCAAGTGGGTCCCAGTCAGAACGGCACTGGGAAGATGTTAAAGAAGCCCATCTCCAGCAGCGCCCCGCAGAATATCCCAAGGAGAACGGACGTGAAGAATCAGGACATTATCATCTCTCCACAGCAGCAGTGCTCCAAGAGCTACATGGATCGACATGTGGAAACACTGACTCAATCCAAAGGCTTCCGTCGTAGACACAATTCCTGTGAGTATGTGTGTTTATCCTGCAACTTTCCTTTTGCCTACCTGAGTTACTGCTGCGACGTCTTCCCTTCTTCGGCAAGAACATTTCAAACGGTGCTGGAGACTTTTGTGTGTTTGCTTTTATCCTTGTACCTGAAGGTCTGGAGAAGAGGAAGATAAATGGTGAGAAGAACTTTGCAAGCTGTGCCTCACAGTATTATCAGTATAGATCTTCCAAGTGTCTGGCACTTATCTTTCAATCTTTTATGATCAGATGGTGATGCAATCTCATCCATAATTTGGTATGAATGCATCATTCATTAAAGCTTGCAGGACTGGGCTTATAAAGGTATGTGCGTACACCTGCATAGAATGCCCTTATACAGAGATACAAAATGGTTTTATTGGGTAAGAATAGTCAGGTGAAGCGGGTTGTTTGACCTGGTCTGCCACTTCTGTATTGTTGGTTTTGTTTGTTTTGGTTTTTTGGGATTTTGGGTTGGTTGTTTCTTGTTTGTGGGGTTTTTTTTGGTTTTGTTTTTTTTAAGAAGAATACATTCTGCTGCTCTAGGCTTCCGGCTACCCTACAGAAATGTGTTCAGGGTATATTGGACACAGGGTTGCTTCACTGATGTCTCCATTGCCATCAGGCTGATGCAGACCGTAAATTCTAGCTCCTTTTCATCTGTGGGGAGACTTTAAAACTATCACTAGAGTTCTTCGGAGGCAAATTTCGCTCTACTTTTTGTTCCTTTTGATTCCCAGTGAAATACCTTTCCTTGCTGGACACAGGCTGGAAAAGTTAATGCAGAGAAGTTAGTGCTGTTCAGCTGAATAACTGGAGAGTAGATTACGGTGAGAGCCTTAACTTGTGTGTGCTCTTTGTGCTTGCTCCTGAACCGATGATGGAGGAGCAGCAGAAAGCAGCTGGTTCTAGCGGAGGCCAGATCCCTCTTTATCATAGCGCTTTATCAGCTGAAAATCCAGTAGGCGGTTGTTGCCCTGGCTTCTGCAGGGTATTCCACGTGGGGGCCCGAGGCAGCGCTTGAGCACGTTGTTTGCGCAGCGCAGTCCTGTAGCCAACCTAGTTAACAGGTTGGGAAGGTCGTAGCAGAATTTATGATGTCGTTATTTGCCCGTAAAGGCTGGTGTTACTCGGGTGCCTCGCGGCCGTGTACTCGCTGTTTCAGGAGTCAGCCTGTCCGGAGTAACCTTCAGAATTGCGTGGGTAAGAAGGGGCTATGTGGATGGTTTTATTTATTAGGCTCAGGACCATTTTTGACGGGATGTTTGTGTAGTGGGAATTCGGCAAGCTTCCCATGCCAAACCTGATTTGAAGTTGTTTTGTTTTTTTTTTCTCTTGAAGCCCATTAAAGGAAATCCGTCTTTCTGAACTTTAAAATGCTGCAGACTGTTGTGCGTCTCTCTTATGAACATGGTAGTATAAAGAGGAACGGCCACAAAAGCTGTTCTATTGCTCGTTCGGGACAGAAGCAGGGTGGCGTTATGTACTTCCAAAACGGATTGGGATGTGAACTGCAAATTCACGTTCCTGTCGCAGGGAAAAACCAGCCTTTATTTTCAGGGTGCGTTACTTCATTTAGTTTGAGGACACGTAAGGCAACATTTAAGAAGAAAAACGCTCTCCATGTTCTTCCCCCCACCCAACATCCTGATACAATCTCTTACCCCTTTCTTCTGTCACTGCTGGCATGAGCTTAGAGGTTGGGTTGAGAATAGCAGGGGTGGACACCACAGGAATTTGGGATATAACAGGGAAAAGGTGTGTATGAACAGAGGGCGGAGAGGAGCAGCAAAGACGCTGAAGGAAGCAGCTGCCTCTCCTTACAGCCTCCAGCTACGTGGGCTGGTGTTTGGGAGGGGCACAGATGATACTTGGGAGCTCTTAGGAAGATGCTGTGTTGCGCTGGCTATGGTGGAACTGGAGGGACTGGGGCTGTAGATGGCTGCAAAGACAAATGATACGGTGGGACGTGAGCTGGAGTATGAATAGAAAGAGATTATTTTATCAGTTGCGCTACAATTGTGCCATGCGTTTCTGTTGCGTACGCCTTTTTGCCCATCCCTGTTTCAGTCTCCCAAAGAACAGCCCTGTTTGAGCAACGCACTGGTGTTTTCTTTACTGCAGCATTTCTGAGAGAAGTGTGGTTGACGCCTATTTACGTAAAAAGCAAATACTTCTTCAACAATTTATTTGTTAAAGTGAATATACAAATTTAATTAGTGAAGTGGCGATCTTCCCTGTCCCACCCTGTGCACTACTGTGCTTCACCAGCATCAAATGTTAGAAAATGCAGAGCTGAGTAATGCCAGTTACAATGATTTCCTCATTCCTGCTATCTTCTCTATTTGAAAATTGCCCAATTGCCAGCCTCCGTTTTCCTTCTAAAAGGAACTGGAAACAAATCGCAATATTATAAAGCTTTTCTATTTAAAGCCTGTATAACCGTAACCTATTACAACATCACCCTACGAGTAATTACCAATGTTATTTGCTGTGCTGTTGAAAATACAAATTAACGGGCTCTAATGAGAATGATGTAAAGATACAATCTGTGCATCTCAAAGTCAAGCATCTGTTATTTTTATTTCTGTTCATAAAATCTTCAGCCAGCTCTCACGCTGTGCCAAAACTGGGTATGTTCTTTTTTTCTCAAAGCCCCCTGGGCTACGCTCCTTTCCAGATCTTCATCATGCAATTACTGAAACGTCAGTATATGTCCAGCATATTTCCATGACTCAATTGTTGAAGCATCGGTATCTATCCAGCGTACTTCCATGGCTTCATTTTTCCCCCCCCCCTTGTTTTTGTGTTTAGAAAAGAAACAAACCCAAGGGGGGCAAGGCCAGTTAAACAGGGAGATCAAAGACTGTATTTACGTGGAGAAGTTCCTGGACCTCTCGAAGTCTTCCTCCCCCACCAACAGCTGTATTATTTTCTGAAAGGGTTGTAACTCTTTTTGTATTCACTTCTTTATTTAAACGATTGCCAAACAGGCTTGATGGGAAGAGGAAGGCCAGAACGATGCGGAGGGGGGGGGCGCGTGCTCCTTGGTGACCTAACCACCTTCAAGCCTGTCGGTTTTGAGTGTTTTACTTCTACCCAGGCCTAAACACTGCGTTGTGCTTGCTGTAGGAGGAGAGCTGTGGTTCTCTTAAGGTTAATTTTTTTTAATTCCTTAACTCTTCCTAAATTCCAGTTAGTTGTTCATGTTGCTTTGGTTGGTTTTAGGAAAACTTTCAAACTTCAGTGTCAGCTACCTAAATGTCTAAAGTAACTCTTGCTTTGCTTTCTTCTGGCTGGCTGGAGCGTGTAGGAGGATTTTGCCAGTGTCTGGTAGGTCGGGGGTGAACAGTGAGTGCTTCAAGCCACTTCAGCCCACAGATAGCTCGCGTCAGTTTTACATAAGCACAACAGCAGGTCAGATTTTCTTTTACAGACTTTGTTTGAAACAAGTTGAGCAAGGTGCTGGATGTCAATTATTGTTAGCTTGGATTCATTTTAGGATAAATGAGGTAGAAAAGTGAACTCTTACCCTCTAAAATGTGTGTGTTTGGAGAGCAGGGCAAATGATGGGTGAATCTCGGGAGGAGGACAGAAGAGGTCCTGGCTCTGTGGAGATGGTGGGTACAGGCGTCCAGAGAAGAATGGGCTGAGATGTCATCTAGAACTTAAGTCATATAGGGTTTAGTACAGCTGAAAGTTGACCTTTTGCTGCCCTTTAGCGTGCTAAGTCAGGGACAAAGTTCCCCCTTCGGAGTACTTGTGTGACAGGAATCAATAAACAACAAATATCAGCGCAGGTTTCACAACAATGGCTTCTGTGCTGGGCTGGCACGGGGCTCGTTCATGCCAGGGCTGGCGGCAAAAGCTCCCCCAGGGATCTCACAGGAAGGCGGCCAGCTCGCTAGAGACTTTACGTTTGCCTGTGTGCTGTACATGAAAGGTTTTTTTTCCTAAGAAACAAGAAAAGCCTGGGAAGTATTGTTTATCTTTTGAGGGAGGCGCTTTTCTGCGTGGCGTCAAGCTGCCAACTTGACGTGGAGCCATGTGCTGTTCTCCTTAATAAGCTTCATGCAAATGCACACAGGGCAGAGACGCTGGAAGTTGTGATCCGAAAGGAGCTGGACTAGAAGGCCTGGATTTCTGTAGCTGCTTGGCAGGGGACTGGATCAGGCCGTGGAAGCAAGTGCAGCTGTGAATAGCGGCTTTCAGGCAATGGCTTGGTCTGGTGTGTCACACTGGTGCCCTGGAAGGCAGTAGACGCTTCTCCTGTTAGCCTTATCTCAGATTCTTCTGCCTGAGTTTTTCCGTCCCTCCCCCTGCCCTCTTTCTAGGTGTTCCTCCTCTTTTCCCTGAACAGCGTCAGCTGCCAGTCTTCTCGCCTGTCTAGATGGCGATGCTTGAGGAGGAACACCACGTAACTTTGCTCGGAGTTCGTAGGAGGCCTCTGCCATGTTCTGTGCAACTTCTGTTGCAGGGTTGTAATGCAGCCCGTGAAACGACAGCCGGTTGCGTGGGTCAGCAGTATTTCGGAGTTGACATCCATTGGTATGGATTAGAAAGCTGCCCACCAGAATGCCGGCACGTCTCGTTTTGATGAGGTACGGTCTTGGCTCCCATTCATTGTGTCTGCGGGGGAGCCCGGGGAGCTTTCCAGCCATTGTTCTCGCAGCTTTTCTAGTGCAGCTTTTTATTCCGTCAGCATTTACACACTGCTCACATCAGCTGCTTCTGTCCCCTGGATCCATTGCGTGGCGGTGCATCTATCCCCACATTTTGCTTTTCAGGTCAGCTGAGGGTAGCGTGGAGTTGTTTGCAGAAGAACCTGGCAATGAGTGTAAAAACTCTTGTTGGGTAACAGGAACGGACTGAGTTGCCATAACACATTGGCACAAGAAGCAGGCCTGTTTTGCCATTGTGCTCATTGTAGGCTCCAGCTTATTCATCTGAATTCTGAGAGTCCCTTGACCATTGCTTCGACCTGGAGCCTGTGAACGTTTGGGGAACTCGGCCTGTTGTGTTGGTCTGGGGTTTCGGTTCTTGTGCGGCTGATAGCAGCAGCGTTGGATGCGATTCCCTTGTCGGTAGTGGCAGTTGCCAGCTCTATACCAAGTCGCGTGCCACTTTGGAGTGGTTTATATGTCAAATTTGGAAGTCGTGCATTAGTAAAAAAAAAAAACCTTTCCCTTTCTCTCAAAACTGTGCATGTAAATGACTGGTCATAGCTTGTACACTGGAATCCTTCTTGCCAGAAGGACTTACCCTTTCTCTCCCCATCTCGTGTTTTGCCACCAGCAATTCTTGAATTCTGCTGTCTGTCCTTCAGTAGCTTCTTGGCAAAAGGTGTATTACCGTAGTCTGTTCTCACCCAGTTGTTTATAAAAACTCCTTGACGTCTCCCGCAGCTTGAAAGTCAATGTTCTGAAAATGATCTACCTGCTGTAGTTTAGTAGTAAGGTCAAATTATTATAAATAGAGACTCTATAAATAGAGAGTATTGTCAAAGTGTGGTGACGCTGACCACACAACTCTGTATGGCTGGTTTCAGTTGCTCCAGTACGCGCAGAATAAATATTTCATGCTGGCCGTTCTACTGATACTGCTGTTTAGAAGAAGTAAGTGGCTTTGTGCGGCAGCCACTGGATTTTCATGATGCGGTGAGGTTAGAGTAAATCCAGTAGGCAGGGTAGCTGTGTTGCTGCGAGAGACTTATGCTATTAGCTGTCTAACTTTGTAGGTGCCCTTGAAGATATTGATTTAACGTAGCAGTGCTGTAGCTATAATGATATAATGGTGTTGGAGAAGAAAGGGAAGAGCCAACGTCTTTCATAAGGCCAGGTGATAAAGCTGGGGCAAGTTGATTCTTTCAGTCTCTTCAGCGCTTGCTAGGGATGCTTGGGCAAAACTGTTTTTAAACTGGTATAACTAGAGCACTCGAGCTCATGTTTAAGACAAAAAAACCCACCAGAACAACAAATTACTCACATCAGGAAAATGGTCATTGTGGGGGGTTTTGTTTGATGATTCCACAAAGCCTTGAAGATTTGGGGTCTTATCTCCTGCTTCTCAAGGTAGGAAATACTGGACTCTGACTTCTTGCGCCCTTTGCTGCTGTTGCAGGACTTGTGAATGGCGTAATTGGAGAGGGAGTGCTTTAGGGTGCTCCGGTCAGTTTTGTTCAGCTCAAGTACTTAAGACACCAGAGAAGGAGCTGCTGAGCATTTCAAAGAGTTTCCTTGCTGTGCGGGCTGGGAAAGCTTTCAGGTTAGTCACTTAAACAGTTCTCTAGGGAAAAAAAAAGTGACACGCTGTCTAAAATACGGGGAAAAATAAACGGGGGAAAATCCTTGCTGAGACAATGCGTTCCTAATTGAGCATAAAACCAAGTGCATATGTGTAGCAAGTCATCTTTCAGCGTAGCATAAGTTAGACGTGGTATTAGATGAAATCAATATCACGCCATAAAACAAATTTGCCAGAGCTTACAAAGTCCTTGATAAGCTCTGAGACCTCCAGGCAAGCCTGCCTGTATCTTCCAGGAAAGCGTGCTCTGCTCCGGTCTGTTCTTGTAGTGTTTTCTATAAAGGCTTCAGGTAATCATAAGGGTGTTCTGGAGTTAATGGCTGCAATTTAAGTTGGGTAACTGGGCTACTGAATAACTTTGCTGCAGAGAGATGAGTTCTGTTTGTTAACTTGGCCGAAATCTGCACATTGGTCTTGAATGTGCCGGTTCCTGTCCTGATCCTGAAACGAATGGACGCTCCTGTAGAAACAGCTGGCAGGAGGAGGGTCCGTCGCTTTCTAGGGGAAGTGCTGCTCCTGTCAATGGAGTGGAGGATTTCACACTTTGGAAATGTGGGTTTGTTAGGCAGCTTGCGGCTGCTCCACCAGTCTGATCCGAGGTTACAAATAAGCCTTTCCGGGCAGGGAGAAGGAGAGGTTTGCCAAGACCAAGCTAGACTTGTCTGCACTTCTGAAGGTGACAGGTAACTTTACGGGAGGCCATGAAGGTTGCGCCTATTGCAAGTCTTCTTGGGATGTTTTCTAAGTATCCTTAGCTGACTTGAAATTCTTCCTGTCTTCTCTCAGATTGGCAATAATGTGTAAAGGCTGGAAAGCTGCCCAGCGGAAAAGGACCTGGGGGTGCCGGTCGACAGCCGGCTGAACATGAGCCGGCAGTGTGCCCAGGGGGCCAAGAAGGCCAATGGCATCCTGGCCTGTATCAGAACTAGTGTGGCCAGCAGGAGCAGGGAAGTGATCGTGCCCCTGCACTCGGCACTGGTGAGGCCGCACCTCAAACACTGTGTTCAGTTTTGGGCCCCTCACTACAAGAAGGACGTCGAGGTGCTGGAGCGTGTCCAGAGAAGGGCAACGAGGCTGGTGAGGGGTCTGGAGAACAAGTCTTATGAGGAGCGGCTGAGGGAACTGGGGTTGTTTAGCCTGGAGAAGAGGAGGCTGAGGGGAGACCTCATCGCTCTCTACAACTCCCTGAAAGGAGGTTGTAGCGAGGTGGGGTCGGTCTCTTCTCCCAAGTAACAAGCGATAGGACGAGAGGAAACGGCCTCAAGTTGCGCCAGGGGAGGTTTAGATTGGAGATGAGGAAAAATGTCTTTACTGAAAGAGTGGTTGAACACTGGAAGAGGCTGCCCAGGGAAGTGGTTGAGTCCCCATCCCTGGGGGTATTTAAAAGACGAGTAGATGAGGTGCTTAGGGACATGGTTTAGTGGATGGTGGTGTTGGGTTGACGGTTGGACTCTGATCTTAGAGGTCTCTTCCAACCTTAATGATTCTATGATTCGAAGACAAAAAAAGTGCTGCTTTTTCACTTATGGAGGAGGTATATAAAGAGCACACATCATCATGGTAATTTGGTGGTAATTTGTTTCTGTGGTATCAAATGGATTCTGTCAATAAACTTATTTGTATAAATGACTTGCACAGGTGATTATCATAAACTATGAGAAATATTTTAGTAGAGCAAGCAGTTTTGGTGTGATAACTCTTAGTCCATCTGTTGGACACTGTAGGCCATCCCTGTAATTGCTGGAATTGGCCTGAAATCTTTGCTAGTCATTGCAAATTTAACAGTGGGTATAACAAACGGATTAATGTTGTCTGGACCTGAGTTTGCATGGGTGACCTGAATCATAATGTAAGAAATAAGCAAGTAGAGGGATATGTTGACCTCGTAATTGCATATGGTTTTGTATCAGTCCTTGATCTCCAGCCCTAAGTTGGGAATGAGGAGACTTTCATCACTCTCGCTCCAGACGAATCAGGCTTTCACAATTACTTGTGATTGGAGAGAAGTGTATTTAAACATGGAAGACGATGAATAAATAGAATAAGGCGATAGGAATGAGGAAAAGGACCTCATATTGGTACAGAAATGTGTACCTGTTGATAGCAAATGCGAGGAAAAAGAAATGCTTTACATTCAGGGTTTTAAGTTCTCCCTTAAAGATCATTAATAGGTGGGCAGCCTGTTATGGAAGAAAACACCTACATTAGTCTCTGAAATTTAGGGAAATTCCAAAGAAGGTCTTGGACCACATGCCTGCGTGAACATGAGCTCAGTATAGGAGGAAAACTGTCCTACATCACGGCTAGCTTATTATCTTATCGCTAATGCGACACTATCTTGAATTAAATAAAATGTGGAGAAACACTTATTTTGCTACTGTGATAAGCTTGTTTTTCTAACCTTGCCAGTGGAAAGTCCCTGAAAGTCTCTCTCGTGATGCTCTTGTCCTATTTTCTGTTAGCTTATCTTAGCATGAGTAATGCCAAAGATGAGGTCTGCATCTGCTTTGGGAAGCGAGTATCCCTTGAGTCAGTGGACTGCAAGCATAAGCTCCCCTCTCTTACAAAATTTGCTCAGAAAGTGTATGAGCAAACGTGGCTCTTTTCCGTTTATGACGCACTTTCAACTTGCTTTTATTTTTGTTTAGGGTCATCCAGTAGCCGTCATCCGAACCAAGTGACTCCAAAGAAGAGTGGCCTGAAAAACGGGCAGATGAAAAGCAAAGATGATGAGTGCTTTGGGGATGACATTGACGAAATCCCAGACACAGATTTTGATTTTGAAGGGAACCTGGCCCTTTTTGACAAGGCAGCCGTGTTTGAAGAGATTGAAACTTATGAGAGGAGGAGCGGCACTCGTTCCCGGGGGACCCCAAATGAGAAACCAGCTCGCTATCGGCACGACGAGAACATCTTGGAATCGGAGCCCATAGTCTACAGAAGGATTGTCGTACCCCAGAACGCTAACAAAGAATTCTGCACGGGTATGCCACATCCCTCACTGATAAGGATGCAAACTGCTGCTTTTCTGGGGCACATGTGGTGGATTGTTTTTCCCCGAGAGGTGTCTATCAGCTTAGTGTGGTACAAGCAAGGGCGTTCGTTTTACTTAAGATTGGATCTGTGCCTTGCATCTACATACAACCTTTATTTTCAATATTTCCAAGATAAAAAATATTCAGATAGGGCAACAAGGTAAGGTTTTTTTTTTTGCAGTAGGGAACAAAACTGATGGTTGGATAACAAGAATGGAAATTGAATAGGAGCCATTTGAATCCTGGCTTTGATTTCAGTAGCATGACGAACCTGTGTGGACTTGATTGCTGGCTCTTGAGGGAGGGATGGTCTCAGGATTCAGGTACACGGTAGCATGTCTTAATTTGTGCTTTCTTGGTAAAAGACAGGAGATTTCGTGTGTTTCTGATGCTCCTTAGGTGGTAGTTAGATATTTCTGCGTGGTTTTGCAGAACTTTAAATGTCCTTGGTGTAAAAAGAAGCAGTTCTGGCTCTTCCCATCCATAATTCCAAACATTCGTTCTACAAAAGGCTTTTTGTGGGGTCCCCCCTCCCACTTACTTACTGTCCACTGCTGCTGTGTGAAAGATCGCGCCCCAGGAAGCTGGACAAACACATTCACGTGTGTGTAAAGAATATCTTTCTCTCCTTTGCTTTACCTTAGTCTTAATTATAAAAGGAAAGGAAAACTTTTAGGCAGATGTTTGACTTGAAGTATTTGTCAAGTGTATCACGAGGGGAAACTAGCTCAGCCTGCTGGTGCCAGCTGCGGCGCAGGTGTTCTCCTGCAAGTCTGGTTTCTGGTCCTTGCTGCCGCCAAGTAGGCTCTTGGATGGAGGTGAAGGTAGCGGGGTGGATCAGTGAGCTGCCTGGCTGCAGGGAAGCAGCGCTCCTAAAATCAAAATGCAGAGAATGATTATTCAGCTCCTAATCCATGGCTCTGGGGACGGGTAGAATTGGTTTCAGTTCATGTTCAGCAGTATTTTTTTTGGCCGAGCACCAAGTAATGGTGTTTTCACCAGGAGCCGCCTATGTATGCAAATGGATTTGACTATAAGGAATCTTTTTATTTCTACACATACACATGCTATGAAGTATAGCACATGTACTTTATGCTACAGTTAGGTTCAAATTCCCTGTAACTGTAGTCTAGTTGTGGTGTCCTGCCTTTGGTTTGCATGCTTTGTAGCACTTGCACAACGTAGGTGTGAAGGAACTTTGGCATTCCAGGAACATTTCTTTTCCACATCAGAATAAAATCAAACTTCAGATCTTTTTGTAGAGAGATGCTAAATAGCTAATATCCTGGTGGTCTGGCCACCGAGGAGAAGTGTGATCGGGTCCTTGATCTGTCATTCTTTCTCTGCCCAGAAACTCCATCTGGGGTGTGAAACACTTCACAGAAGGAAGCTGATTCGTTTGCAATAACTTGCTGCTTTTCGATTTAAAAAAAAGTCATTTTTTTTAATGGTTCTGCTATACAACGATATCATAGTTTTCCATTTGTGTCATCCATCTTCCTGTTGATGTGTTCCGCTCTCGAATGAGGTAAAAACGTACTGGGTCATATCAGAACTTGTCCAGCTCAGTATTGTGTTTCCAAGGATACTTCAGGAAAAGTGAAAGAACAGAGTAATCATGCAGTGAGACTTTCCCCTCAGTGCTTTGTCTTTCACAATTTTAAGACTTCCTGAAGCAGAAGTGATAGTTCAGTATTAATAGATTTGATGAGGTGGGGTTTTTTTCTGCTTAATTTAACCTATTGCTTTTTAAAATCTATGCAAGCTTTCAGTCGCTCTACAGTGTCCTGTGGCAAGAAGCTCCACCGATTGCCTGTGTGCTGTGTGAATAAGCACTTCACATTTTCATGTGTGACTGACTTTTTTTTTTAAATTTGCTACTTGTCAATTCATCTTCTAGCTGGCTCGTTTGAGAGGAGTCAGGGCCTCTACGTATGTCTAGTCTGAAACAAAAGCTAACCTACTGTTAGCTGCCAATTTGAGAAGTATGGCTAATACGTTATTCTAGCAGTTCAGTTCCTGGGGGGAAAACTGACGTGCAATAAGCAGCAAGCATCAGTAAGTAAATTCAGGGGATGAAAATGAAATCGTGTTTTGCTAAGCTCTGTTGTCCTTTACTCTGGAAACTCTTGGCTCCCAGTTTGCGGCGCGCTGAAGGGAGCAGCCCAGTGAAAGGACTGCTGTTTTCTTGTTTTGTGCTTGGCAAGCCTGCACAGGGAGGGTGGCAAACGCCTCGCCTCTGTAGTTGCAGGGTCTTGCTAGCCTCATTAACTACTGTTGGGTGATTAGTCTCCCATATGGAATTCTGGATTTGTTTGGAAGAAAAGCTGTCGTGTCACACAACGGGCAGGGTATTGACAGCTACAGTTCCCTGTCGCCTGTGCTGAGCAGGGCCCATTCACAGTCCTGTGAATGATGATAAAAGTGTCCCAGTGCTGTGTCTCTCTAGATGTTTTTTCCCACAGGGAGTGACTTCTTTTGTGTCCGCTGAGGAAGTTTACTTTTGCTTAGGAAATGCTAATGGCTGTCTAGCAAAAGCTCTTGTAAACAGTTGTAACTTGCCTACTGTTTCTGGCATTCAGTCGCTTTTTGTAGCGAGTCAGCCCTCCGAGGGACAGAAAGATATTCAGTGTGCTTGGAGTAATGATGGACTGTCACTTGGAAAAAAAAAAAATCCTGATTTCTTTTGTTTAGGAACTGGAAGGAGGATGCTAAGCTGTAGGCAGCTTGCCTCTCTCAGTGGCTCAAAGAGCGAGCAGCAGCTCGCTGAAATTAAATGAGAGTGCCAGTAGCCCCGAGAGCCATGATTTTGGATGTATCTGTGGCAGGAATTCTCTTTCTGCTTCTGAATTCTCCCTACAGAGTTGTCTCTGGACTCCTAAGGGGAGCTTTACTTGCAAAAAGCACTTCCTAGTTATAGGAGAAATAGATACTTCATAATTTTTTTCCCTAGGCTGATCTTGAAGATGATTGTCTTAAAAGAGCTCTGGCTGATAGAATGATTATTCTGTCTGCTATAATAGCACAAACAAAGTGATGCTGGTGATTGACAGTGAGCTAATATCCAGCTCTTGTCACTGTGGGAGAGGAAGAAGTCTGTGAATCCTTGCATGCTCTTTCATGCCATGTTTCCATGGAGCTGGGAAATAACCGGGACTGTGCAGTGGTAAAACCAGCAAACTGCTGATGCCGATTCTCCAAAAGACTAATCTGCAGGGCTTCCAGTCTGTGTGTTTATTACTGACTAAAGTCTATCTGTGTAGGATGTAAGCAAAGCTTGATAAACACTTCAGTCCACCAGGATGCTTTTCTGAGAGCTAATTTTATGGAGGCAGGCAGTCATATAGGTATACTAGCGTGTGTTTTAGAGGTAAGCAGGGAGTGAAGATGGGGATCTGTTCCAAACAAAAATGAAAACCCGAAGCTAATAAAGCTTACCAGGTCTTTGATCATGACTGAGCTGAGTCTGTCCCTGGGGCTCCACACATGAGTCGCTCCCAAATATATAATTAGTCTTTACTCTTTTGGGCTGGCTGCTATTGATCTGTCTCTTTATTTGCTGTTACATGGTGCTTGAAAAGGAAAGTGCAATTGTTTAACAAAAATCTGCCTCCCTGGAAAGGCTGATCCTTTTTATGAGGTGTGAGCTGTCTTTTTCCACTTCCAGAGCTGTCCAGATAGAGAGTTTAAATGTGCGTTGGCATAGGTCTGTCTCTGTCCCTTCTGTTGGCTATCGGCATCTGTCTGTCCCTTCTGTTGGCTATCGGCATTGAAGCGATCTGTGTTTGAACAGCACGGTGTTTTGGGGTCGGGTCTTTTAGCAGTAGCCGCAAAGCCAATGTTCTGCAGGTATGTTGGAGCTCAGAGGAGTTTGCAGTAGGATGGAGTATCTCAGTTCATCATCAGTGACTCTATATAATATAATCTCAAGCATACCAGGCTCTCCAAATCTTTTTTTTCAGTTCATCTCTCCTTTCCTCTTAACTTTTTCTGCCAAAAAAGTGTCTTTATGAGCACACTGAGATGAGTAAAGAGGAGAACTGCATGCCACGTAGGTAAGGTATATATGTATTTCCCTGATGTACTAGTAAGGCTTTGCCCAAAGCAGGTTCTCTTCTCGTAAATGCTGTTAGTGTAGAAAATATGCTGTTTCCATCCCAGCGTCTCTTCTGGAAAATAAGTGAGACTTTTCAAACTCAACTGCTGTAGAAATTTGAGATGGCCATTTGTCAAGCGAAAGCAGGACTGTGCTCAGAAAATCGGACTAAGTGTCGATATTTCTCTGTGTTCCCACTAACCGAACCAAGCCTGTCCTTCAAGAAACCTTTTCCCCCACGGTAAGGGGATGGCGAAAGAAAATGTGTGCTTAGAAGTAAATCAATGCAGCGGGCAGAGCTGATGTGCCAGGGTTGGACTACAAAACTAAGGCTGAGTCTGTTCTGCGAGGGTGATGCCGACAGTATGGCTTTTTTTTGTGTGCCGTGTCCTTGACTGACTCTTCTACTCTCTAGCTTTTAGCTCTTCAGTCTATGGATGACTGCCGTACAGCGATTGTGTGTATTGAATGTGTGAAGTGTTTCTGGGATCTTTGAGTAGAGTGCAAATTAAGCTCGCTTTATCCAACGGCAGGAGAAAACAAAGTGGTCGTGGGGCAAAGTCTCTTTGTCCCTCGGGTGGTTTTTTGCTCAGCCGGAGTGAATTGTGCACTAACGCTGGGAGAGGCTGACACTGGAACTTCAGCCAGAACTCCCACAGAATTTGTCTTAATTAAAAATAATAATGATTTAAAAAAAAAAAAAAAATCTAGCCCTTAAGGTTGTGGAGAAAATCATTCGTGTTTGTGGGGCAAGTAACTGTGTTTTGCTGAGTCTGCAGGCAGGTGGCTCCAGCTTTACAACCAGCAAAAGACAGCGAGTAATGTCCCATCTGCCTGAACTGGACAAGAGTTACACCCACTTCACGGCACCGCATCTTAGACCGCGAGCTGTGTGGCTCTGGAACCTGGAGTTATTTGTGGCTAAAGGAAAGAGTTAATGGCTTTACCTACAGCTTTCAGGAGATCCTAAGCCTAGTTCCAGCTCATCCATTCCTGCAGCTTGCCTGTATTTATTTTAGCAGCTAGAGAGCTGCTAAAATAGTCAAGAGAAAAGATGGGGCTTACACACTGAAGTACTCAAGCAGCAACCCCCTCTTTTCTTTTTTCTCCCTGCAACTGAAAGCATGGGAGGCGTTTGGACTTCTGACAGCAACGTTGCTCTGGGCTTGTTTGGGGAAAAACTCTTACTTCGCTAACTTCTGAAGAGTTAGCTCAGTCCTTCTGCTGGCATAGGATGTTTTAATCCAGCCAGTATGCGTGTAACACTGCATAGTGAAGCTCGAGGAGATAACTTGTTCGCAGTCGTAGTGCCCAGGACAGAGTGTGCTTCATAAATGGAGAATACTTCATGTTTAATCAGGCTTCAGCAATACTCTGCGTGTCACAAAACTGTTTAGTCTATATCTGTCTCTTTTTTTTTGTTTGTTTTCCAGGCAGCTGTAAAATACATTTATTTAATATTAAAAGGCCTGAGCTAATTTATTTTATTACCTTCATTACCAAACAATAAAGATGCACTGTCCAACCCAAACATAATTAAAGTTGGCAGGAGTTCAGTTTTGTTGCAGTAGTGTTATTGTTTGTGGGTTTACACGTCGCCTCCTTGATTGCTTTCTGCCAGAGTTTATTTAACTCCCTCGGCCTGGTTTTGATAAGCCAGTCTGACCGGTTGGATCTTGCGTGAGTGTGAAGAAGGGAAGTTCTTTTGGCATTTAAGCCTGCTCTTGAGAGGGAGCAATTAGGACAAAGTGTAGCCCTGGCTCGGGCCTGCTGTTTTGCGTGCAAGTTCATCTCGTGCCTCTGCTGCCTCCCAGTAACCCCTTTTGCAATAACCCACTGGGCTCTGAGTCGCGGCTAGCTGATGGTAAATGTGGGCTTGCTAAAGCTCGTGGTCTGGGGGACGTGATTGTAAATGGTTACAGAGAAGACATTGGTGGCAGTCGTACTAAATCGGACAGGCAGTGGAATATAGATCGGCTGTTTCGCCCTTCTAGTTTGGGGACTTTGCAAAATTTAAGCGGAGAATTTGTAGCCCTGCAGTTCAGAAGGAGCAGAACTACAGTTTGGGAGCCCCCTGTTTCAGGTTAGCAGGGGACGTGTCCCGCCAAACTGTTTGGAGAGATCCTGACCTCAGGTCACTCATCCCAAGTCCTCCCTCAAGCTTGAAAAACAAGACTTGATGAAGGAGCAAAAATAGGAATGGGAAAGGGGCAGAGCCGAGCCTTGCGTGACTCTGGAGGCTAAGAGGGTGTGTGAACACAGGGCAGGTGCGTGACTAGTCTGACGGGCTTAGGATTATTAGTGGCTCATGACTCCAAACGTTCAGCGGCTGCTATCAGGAGTCTGAAATGACTTTGATAATGTGCATGCTTGCATGTGTGCTGCATGTAATGAAAGACTAGTAACAGAGGTAGCTTAATCGGCGGTTAGCATGCAAGGTCAAGTGTTTGAACACGTTTGGGCCCTCTGTATCTGCAGAGCACTAGCCGGTGAGTTCAGAAATGAAGGCTAGAAGGATTCAGCAGGATCTATTCAACAACATTTTACTGTTACCTTGCAGGAATACCTCCGATTTGGCTCCGAAAACCTCAAGATGTGCAAAACCTGCCATTTCCGCCATAGCTTGACTTAGTGGTTTGTGACTGGGGCACCCTGGGGAAATACGGCAGTACCAATAATTCCTCACAACTAAAATACACGCTGCTTTTCTCATTTGAATATGGCACTTGCATGTTACAACTGGTTCTGGTTATGGTTTTTGTCTGCAGAAGAGCCCGAGCCCACGAGTAACTGTTAGGTTTCCTCTCTGAGCGGATGTGTACGCTGTGGCTGTTCCCCTTTGAGCCTGTATCGCTGCAGAGCATTTTCACTGGGCCGTGTCATGTTCCCAAGACTCTTTCCCATTAGCGCAGGCGGTCCGAGCCCTGCCGTGCTCCTCGGCGCTGGGCTGCGATGAGCGCCCGGGTGGCTGCCGTCGCCCCCGAGTTCAGCGGCGGAGCCGCTGATGGGAGTGCGAAGGTGAGTCAGGGCTGCTGGCCGTTGAACACCGCAGAAGCAGAGTGTGCTGATGGAAGGACCAAGTTCGTGCTTTGGCATCGTGCCCGAGCTGTAGCAGCCGTCGGTCTTGAGTCCCGGACCTTTTTGACTCATCGTGCCTGACTCCCGTGCACCTCATCTGCCTGTCCCAGAGTAGGAACTAAGAGTAAATTCACAGAGCCCTGGCTCAGCCGGACTCTGCTGGCATTGCTTGTTTAGCTCGGAGCAGTGCTTATGAATGATGTGAACAGAAGGAGCTGAGAGCTTTTCTTGCTGGCAGCTGTGCTCCAGCAATGTGGCCGTCCCGTATGGGGAGGGAATTAAGCTGCGCTGCTCCTTAGCTGGAAGACAGTTAAGGACATCCAGGCCTTGCAGGAGGATGTTGCAAGGGAACAATAGCACGTGTTTCTGATTCTACATAGGTGCGAATCCTCAAACACAGAGCGAAGGGGCTTGGGTATCCGAATTATTTTGGAGAAAAGTTAGAATAAAGAGGCTGATTTCTGCGGTTGAAGATACTCACGATATCTGCTGGCTGCTGCAGCAGTTTTCTCACCTGTCATGTTTTCCTCTTCTCTCTCCATATACCATCAGTAATTATTTTCAGTTTCCTTGTCCTCCACTATTCAACACACCACCAAAAACTGCTGTGGCTCCCCTCAGAGCAAGCTGCCTTTTGGTGGCAAGGAATCCTCTGTATTTATTTCCAGGGGAGTTTACAGATGTTACTGCAGGATTTATTTCTGTGAAGTCAGTGCCAGCTTGGCCTGCCTGGAGAAGGGAAGTATAAAGAATCGACCAGAACAGTTATTCAGGTTTGTGTTTCTCTTACCTGCTGATTCCAGGCAAGTTTGCTGTAGAAGCGAGCGGGAAGGACTGTAGTGCTTCCTACTGCAGGAGCTGTTCTCAGCGCTTAGCAAAACCTCTCTTGTTTGTTTTCCCTTGATCTGCAAGCTGGAGCATTTCCTGGCTCGCAGACCAGGCTGACAAAAACATCTGAGAAGTATTTTTCTACAGGCTTTATTCTTTCAGCCTCATCGTTCCCCTGCCGCCTCAGTGTATCGTGATTCAGCTTTTGTGTCTGAAGCCAGCCCTTCTGGCACGGCACAGCTCGGGTGGTGGGGACGCCTACCTAGTAAATGTGGGACGTCTTGTTTTGCTGTGGTATGTGGGTTAGGGGCTGGAGACGGTTGGACTCGATGATCTTAGAGGTCTTTTCCAACCTCAATGATTCTATGATTCTATGAAGTTTGGGGCCGATCACTACCGACGTCAGGAAGCATAATGCATCCAAGCTTTTTTGGTGGGAAATCTGATTCACAGCTTCTCTTCTGACTTTCACAGTGATTAGGAACACTTGTATGTGTCTGGGCACGGGTGTGGGTTAAAGCACTGGTGGCCCGGAGACCATTAAGAAAGAACTTAATAATCTATTAAGTCAAAAAGGCCTTCTCAGTCCACGTGTTGCTAAAATTGCCAGCTGCCTGCTGAATTTTCGTGGAAAAGTATTATTTCAAGCCCAGCAGTTGCGTTTAGCTGTCAGCGCTTCACTCAAACAGAGTGAGCTGAGTCTGATGCGCTAGTTTGGATTCATTTGAGGGTCTTGGAAGGAACCTGGATTGCTGGGTTAAGCAGCCCCTTGCTAACAGCTAATAAGCCTTTTCACTGTCATCATTTCTAAGTGTTGTCCTATAAAACCTTACCAGACTGCAGCATCCTGCAAAAGTCTCCGATTATACCCACTTTTGTCTTCCTCCCTCTGCTGTCTTTGAACCCTAGACTCCGGGCTGGTTGTTCCAAGCGTGTCTTACGAGCTTCACAAAAAGCTGCTCTCGGTTGCTGAGAAGCACGGGCTGACTCTGGAGCGGAGGCTGGAGATGACGGGAGTGTGTGCGAGTCAGATGGCCCTGAGCCTCCTCGGGGGACCCAACAGGTAAAGCTGTTCCCTTTCGCTCTGCTGTGGGTTTGCCCCCTCTAAGAAGAGCTCAGCTTATCTTGTTCTGCTAAGTGGGCTTGAGGTAAAAGAGGGCCGAGAGGTTACTCTCGAGGTAAATGTGACGTGGATGCCTGCTGCCGCTTGCGCTGGAGCTGGAGGCAGCTGTCAGCTCTCTGCCTTTCTTGCCTCTAAAGGAAAAAAACCTCATCCCAATGCCGTGCAGACCTGTGTTGTAGCTCGTGTATCAGCCTGTTTCCAAATAATCATGAAAACAAGTGTGAGGCTCAGGCTCCTGAAGTGGGAGGAAGCCTTACAGTAGGCTTCCATGCCCGTGCTGCTTTTTTTTTTTCCCTCTCTAGCCTCTCTAGAAAAGGGCTGGCTGAACGTACCATCTTGGATGAATGACTTCCTAAGGGCTTCTTTTTGGCTCCTGTGTCCCAGAAGCAGAAGTGTCTCCTGAGTCCATGACAAAACAGACAGAGCTGAGATTTTTCTCTCCGCTTACAGGGATTTTTTTTCAGGGAATTGAGCTTTGCACAGGTGTAACCCAGGGCAGATTAAACCACTGCAGAATTTCTGGCGAGCTATTCCTTTTTGCAAATAAGTAAACCCTTCCTTTGTTGTTTTTACATGTCACGATTTAATGATATCAACAAAACCAGAAGTCAGCACATGAAAACAAAGTGCTGCTTAGCTTTTCACAACGCTAAACGAGCTTTCAGGCATCTACACCTAAACTGAGAATATCCTGCCCAATTTGATAGCAGGTTTGGAGTGCACTTACTGCTCTTTGCATGAATATACGTGCTGACTCGTTTGAAGAGGTCCGCTCTGTGCCTGCGCTTACCGTAGTTGTTGATGCGGGCTGACAATTGCACGTGTATTTTTATGCTGTTGATAGATGCTCCAAATTATTTGCTCTTGAAATGGAAGGTAAGCCTTAAGTTTCCATCTGTTTATTTGGTAGTACTTTACCAGGACCTGATCATTTGATTGAGAGCAGTAAGTGATGACGCACCAGGCAGCACTGACCCTATCTACTGAAAATCCTACTGTAAGCCACCTGTGACAGCTTGCAGGCCATTTAAATAAATCAACTTTATTTTGCAGTTGACGAGGAGCAGCAATTAGGGAGTAGAAATTATTTTTCTTCTTTTTTTTTTTTTAACTGTGGCTCTACTGATGGAGTAAATCACCCCATATTTTTAAGATTGTATAGTTAGCGTTCTTCTAAAATCAAGAGGGTCAGAGGAAAAAAAGGCCTCCTAAAAGTCAAATGGCACTGGATTCAGGCTTGCTACATGAGCAGTGAAAACACCCCCTGCTTTGAAAATACAAGTGGGCTTTGTGATGAGCCGGGATAGACTGGGACCTTGTGCTCTCTGTTGTGGGTGCAAGGAAGCCTTGAAGGGAACCTGCAAGCAGAGCAGCTCTCTAGTGTCAGCGCTACAAAAGGATGTGGGTTCCTTCTCGGAGGCAACGGAAGATTTGCAAAACACCTGTAAATTTGCATTTTACTGATTTTTTTTTTTTTAATAATTTTTTTTTTTCTCTCTCTTACAGGAAGAAGGTAAGAGATTCTTGGGTTTATTAAGTCCCCTTTTGTCTGCGTTTTAGGCTGAACCCGAAGAATGTGCATCAGCGGCCCACAGTAGCCCTGCTGTGCGGCCCCCACGTGAAGGGGGCCCAGGGGATCAGCTGCGGACGGCACCTCTCCAACCACGACGTCCACGTCATCCTTTTCCTACCCAACTTTGTCAAGATGCTGGAATCCATCACCAACGAGCTGAACCTTTTCAGCAAGACGCAAGGCCAGCAGGTGTCCAGCGTCAAAGGTAAGTGAGCGAGGAGCAGACCTGCTCTCCGCCACCCTCGCGCCTCACCGAGACCCGTGCCGCTCAGCTCGCCAGTGCCTGCCCGGTCCGGTGGCACCATCTAGTGGCACCGCCATAGGCAGGTGGCTGGTTGGAGGCTGGCGGGACAGCAGAGACTTGAGAGGTTCAACAGTGGAGCGGTTGTGCTGGTACAGATGTTTCCTGTATGAACAAATAGGGAAGAGCTGCTGTATGGATCTGAGTCAGACCAGCCGTTCTCTTAGGATAAGGGCCTTCCTTGTTCAGCATGTCGAAACTGCCACTAAATGAGCATCCAGCTGCTGCTGCTTCAAACCAAGCAGACAGCTTTGCTGAACTAGTCCCAGCAGCTGTCAAAATTCACATCTCCTAGTTTGCCCCAGAATAAACTGATGCTCCGTCTTCTGCGAGAGAGCTGGCTGCTGTTTGTCGTTTCACCAGCGGTATTCTCAAACCTGTTTCATTTAAACTTCTTGGGAGAAACAAACCTGGTAATCAGGGCAGCGCGCAATGTTTTGTGTTGTGGCGGGGTGGGGGACTGCGCTGTGCTGGCTGAGCTACTTGTCTGTTAGAAAAGATTATAAAAGATTTTGCACCGAGGACTTCGTGGTCCATGAGGTAAGAGGAATACAGCAGATGTGGTACAGAGCAGGTGAGTGCAGTGAGACCGACGGAGCTCAGTGGGGCAGGCAGCAGTGCAGCACACAAGCTGCCTTTCCATAGCAGAGGTAGTCGGCGCGTTCCGGGAAAAATAGGCCTCTTTTTCAGCTTGTGGAATATAAAATGGTCCTTTTATAACGGAGAGAGAACACCACTGCTTCCCTGGGCTGCCTGGACTGGTGAGCCAGCTCAGCGGCAGCGTCTGGGGCTGCTCAAGTGCTGACCACTTGATGAGATTTTGTACCTGAGAGTCTGTGAACGTTCTCCAGAGTGCTAAAGAGCTTTTAAATATCGGTGTCGGCGTCTTTTGCAGAAGGACAGCAATAACAACAGGTAAGGCTAGACTGTATGCAGTGAGACTGGGGGTGCTGGAGGGGGAAAAAAAAAAAAAAAGAAATATCTGCTGGCAGTTGCAAGGAGGGAAGGCACTGAGCCTTAGTTCGTGGTTTCAGGTTGGTCCTCAGCGCTCAACGGTGTTTGTGTTTCTTTCAGATCTCCCAGATACCCCTGTTGACCTAGTGATCAACTGCCTGGATTGTCATGAAAATGCCTTTTTGAGAGATCAGCCCTGGTACAAAGCAGTTGTGGACTGGGCCAACCAGAACCGGGCACCCGTCCTCAGCATAGACCCTCCGATAAACGAAATGGAGCAGGGCATCGACGCCAAGTGGTCGCTGGCCTTGGGCCTGCCCCTGCCCCTGGGCGAGAGGGCAGGGCGGGTGTACCTCTGTGACATTGGCATTCCCCAGAAGGTCTTTCAAGAAGTGGGAATAAACTACCACTCGCCCTTCGGCTGCAAATTCGTCATCCCCCTGCACTCCACTTAGAGCCCATCCAGCCACGTGGCTCTGAAGGGAGAGAAGAGAGAAGGAGGAGGTCTGTCAAATAAGCTGTCCAGTGGATCCTGACTAGTAAACTCGTGACGCCTTAAGGATGTGAAGTTCTGGAGCGTTTTCCTTCCAGAAGAAACATTGTGTATTTAAAAAAAAAAAAAAAAAAAGAATAATCATGAAATGAAACAAAAAAAAGAAGGAAGCGAATGTTCCTGCAAAGCTGTTTTCATTCTCTTGTGCCATTGTGTGAAGGAACACGCAGGAAGATGCTGTCTGTCCCTGGCGAAGGTGGCCAGTGCTGCCCAGGCCCGGCCGGGAGGCTGTTTAACGAGGGGGTGTACGTGGAGGTGGTACAAGCGACGGGTGGTCTGGAGATTTGAGATGTGTTTCTCAGTCCTTCTGGGCGGATAGACCCAGCAAGGGCGCCCTGCTGGGAACAGCACCCCTTGATTGTGTAGAAATACCTTCTGTTGCAGTCGTACCGGGAGGGAGGATTTGGTTTCGTTCCGTTGTTCTTTTTGACTCCCCCTCTCCCCTGTTTTATGTTCCTGAAGGCAGTTGTAGCTCGCTCTCCCTCCTGGACCCTCCAGCCCCTCAAGGAGAGCGTTCCCCCTCGGGAAAGCTTATGTCAAGAGCCAGAAGCTCTCAGGTTGCCCATGCTCTGGGAACACCCATGTCCTCAGCTACGCCTTACTTGCTGATATACTCTGTGGCTTTTTGTTTGTTCGCTTAGTGGGTGAAGCCCAGGTCTATGGGAGCAAGGCGTGTTTTGGAAAAGAACTTTTCCAGGATAGTCAAGGAGAGCGTTCCCCCTCGGGAAAGCTTATGTCAAGAGCCAGAAGCTCTCAGGTTGCCCATGCTCTGGGAACACCCATGTCCTCAGCTACGCCTTACTTGCTGATATACTCTGTGGCTTTTTGTTTGTTCGCTTAGTGGGTGAAGCCCAGGTCTATGGGAGCAAGGCGTGTTTTGGAAAAGAGTTTTTCCAGGATAGTTGTTTTGGTTTGGTTTTTTTTTTTTTTTCCTTTCTTCTTTCTGTCACAGCGAGTGGCTGAATCAGGGAAAGGGTAGTGAAGCAGGGCAGCGTCGCTCTGAGTTTGTTGCGTGGTGTATGGTGCAGTTGATGTTTGGGTGAGTTCCCCCGGTGCTTCCAGTATCCCTCCTACACTCCGTGTGGTGTGGGAAGTAGGTCATGGATCCGTTCATTCCCTTTGGGCTCGAAGCCTGCGTATAGGGTGGGCACGCGTGCGTGCGTGTGTGTGCGCCCATGTGCTGGGAACCAGCTTGAGGAAGGACTTGGGTCCTCAGCTTACACGGTCCTGTTTGCCTGCAGGAGATGGCGTGGTGAGAGCTGCTGCCCTGGAGGGGTACGGCAGGAGGTTCTTGTCTAAATTACTGTAGGGGATCTGCCCTGGGTTGCTGTGCTAACTGCACTTGTGCTGCGCTCGCTTCCCACGCGCTGCCGGGAAGCGTTGGGTTATCTTTTCCCGCGTTCATTTTGTTGGCCCGATGGAGCCTTGGTGCGGTGCCTAGAGCAGGGACGAGCTGAGAAACCATCAGCTAGCTGGCTTCGGGAATCCATCGTGCTGGCTCTGTGAGCGCTCTCTGAAGACTTTGCGCCCGGTAGCTGACCCAGGGAAGCGCTGAACCTAGAGTGATGCAGGAGGTGCTGTAAGGGCGAGCTTGTTCCTCCGGAGGAACCGGGCAGACGCAAGGCAGGGGCCCTGTTCTCGCAAAGAGGCGCTCAGCTCCCCGCTTGCTCCCCATGCCGTGAGTGTGGGCAGTGCTTGAAGCTCTGCTGCTCTTCTGGTACCTTACCTGTCCCCAGAGCTCCTGCAGGTACCTTGCACAGACCCTGTTCTGGCATCTGGGAGAGCTTCACGGCTTCAAACGGTGCCTTTTCTCCAGGGGAGCTGGACCCCTTCTGAGGCTGAAGCGCAGGGACGCGTGGAAGGGGTCACCTGCTGTTGTAGCTGCCCTGTTGCTCCGCTGTGCTAAGCAGGTAGCAAACCTATTGACCCACTTGTGCTCGGAGTGGTGGGGATTTACAGATCGGGCACTTGTCTTTCATCCGCTTAGAACAAAGGCCAAGTGTATCAAAGGAGGAGGGAAGGGTCTTCCCCGGTTGAAAAGAAGCAATTGAGCAATTAATATTGCCTGGAAGCGTGGAGTGAGGGGGGAAGACCCAGCCCGAAAGGACGGGAGGCTGGTGAGCGCTGGGCTTGCCCCCGCAGCCGCCTGAGGTCTCTTCCCCTGCCAAACCGCCTGCACCTTGCCGTATCTACCTCAGCAGGGCGAAGGGCTCTGCCCCTCTCCGTGGCTGGACCCCTGGTTCCCCTGAGCTTCTTTCCCCGCTGAGGGTTGGACGACTGAACCGCGTCCGCGCTGGCTTACGCCGAGCGCTCGCACGGGGAGGCTTGGCCGCCCGTCAGAGCTGTGACAGGGCGTAGCTCTGCCCTCGAGCGGTTCCTCTGCCGTAGGCTGGTGCCCAGCACCTATTCCTCAGGTGAACCACGTTTCAGCTAGAACTGTAGTGGCGTTTAACAAGCCGTGGTTCTGATTCGGCCGCACTGGGAAGGGATAGCAATGTGGCTGGTTATTTAAAACACAAATGTGAGGCTTCCCTCTGCCTTTCTTGTTTCTTCGGCTGTTTCAGCTTCATCTAATCTTTAGCCAGGCAGAGGAGCAGCGGCTGGGTTAAAAAGGTGCATGACCGTCCCCCTGGTCGTTGCTGTAGTAGCTTTAGCCCCCTTATTTTCACTTTCCTTGCTCAAGACACTCGATAAGAGAACCTGCCGTTTCAATTTCTGCTTTCTGTGAACCAGGCCGCAGGCTTTTCTCGCCTCCTCTGGGTTTGGCTATTAGATTGTACGCACCGAGCAGTAACAGTGTAGAAATAATTCCAGGCTTCATCACGGGGTCCTTTTCTGCCTCTACGCTGGCTGAAGTTAACGTGCCCAGAAGGGCACTGAACCAGGTAAGGAAGTTTTTGCAGGGATGGCAGCTGGGATCAGGCCTGTACTCGCTGCTGCATAGCTCCAGGAAGCACGGAGGCCCCGTGCATCGCCAGCCCTGCAGCAATAGGGTTCCCCACGTTTAAGCAAAAACAATAAAAATAAAAAAAGCGAGCAGTGTTGCACAACAGGAGGGTACAAACCCTCCCGATAGGAAAGGGATTCCCAATCCCTACCCGTGCAGTGTTCAGGGCACAGCAGGCAGCTGTGGGCTGCGTTTGGCACAGTTAAACTTTACAGGGGGCTCACTTTCTGGAGATGAGAACAGATTTGGGTACTTGGCTGTACTTTCCCTCGGATACAGAGGCTTACTTGAGGAAGTACTGGCCTCACCCACATGAAATGCATCTTATGTGCAGGTGTGAGCTCTTCTGGAGCACTCAAGAGACCCAGAAAGGGGTCTGGGTCCCTTCTTCTCCCCCTTCCCCCACGCTGCCAGAGTTAATTCAAAGAATGGAACACTTTTTTTTTTTTTTAATCTGTGTTTGAGATAGTTTTGACCCACAACCTTAACCACCACCATAGGAACTGCCTGCGAGTGCTGCTCTGGTCACTAACACGTGAAGATCACTGCACCGCGTCACTGCTTGATATTCCATTTGTGACCTAACGTTTGTAACGACTAATTCCTGCCGCTACTGGGGGATGCCCTGAAATAAAGTGCAACTATTCATGTGTGCTATTTGTGTGCAGCTATTTATTTGTCTGCTATCATTCTAGAGCCTGACACCACAGCTGGAGCAAGTCTTCCCGCTGCTCCGCACTGTTCAAGAGGAGCGAGGGCAGAGACCAGGGAGAGTTTTTTTGCCCTCCAGTGAAGCAAAGATTCCTGCTGCTTAGTTTCCAGTTAATTTTTCAACATCTTCGTCTTCCTTTGCAGAAAAGGCAAAGCTGGGAGCAAGAGAACCCTACACCTGCCTACAAGGGAAGTATCAAACAATAAGAAACACTTTATTTTAACTTTACAACATATAAATAGACAAATCTGTGCTTTCCAATGTAGCTTTTCTTCCCCTCCCCTACCCAGGGTCCTTGTCGCAGTGCCCCAGCCCCTCTGAACTCTGAGAAAAGAGAGCGAGTGGGGCTGAACTGCAGAGGCTAGACCGATCCCGTATGTACAAATGCAGCAGGCATCGCACCCTCCCCAGCTGTCATCTGCTCAGGTCCCGGCTGGCACCTCGGCCGCACAGCATCCTCTCCTCTGCAGAGAGGCCAGCGAAGAAGGGATGCAGGAGGGCTTCCGAGAACGTGATCCTCCGGGAAGGGTCGAATTCTAACATCCTCCTCATCAAGTCAAAGAGCTGTGCGTGCTCCAGCGAGTCGTGCAGCATGTACGTCTGAAAGAGAAGGGCAGGGGGGAGAGAGAGAGAGGGGTGTAGCACTCCGGTAGGACAGGGACTGAACCCTAGGCCCTAGCTAGTGAGGTAATGGCTGTCTCCCCTCCTGAAGTACAGCATTCCGCTGGCCCTTGCACTGCCCGACTTCCCTAGTACCTGTCCTGCTTCAGTTAGTTAGACCAATAAACTTCTGTTACTGCAGATGAGAGTTTGGGGCGCTGTAAAAGCCAGTTACTAAGGAGAATCCCCATCCCTAAGCCCCACGCCACTGATGTGGGGAAGGGAACGGCACAGCGGCTCGGCCTCGCGCCGCAGCCAGCCCTCCACCAGCCACCGAGCAGCACCTACCCGCAGGGGCTTGCAGTTCTCTTGGACGTATCTCCCGTCGGACGTGTTCTCATCCCATACCAGGTTCCCATTGTGGAAATATTTCTGCTTCCTGCAAAGGAGAGGTGGCGTTCAGCAAGGCTACTCGGGGAGCGGGGGCACGCGTTCCCAGGAGAGCTCACCCACACGGGCAGGGGGAAGGCAGCAGCCTGTGCAACTCAATGACAATTAACACTATAATCTCTGCCATACATAAGCAGCTCAGCCATTTCCCCTAGAACCCGTGATCAGGGTCACAAACAAAACTTCCAGCAGGTCTCTCAGGGCTATACCCACGTAGGTAAGACCCGGTGTGAGGACAGAGAATTGCTATCCTGAGTAATTAGCCACAAACAGTTGACTGGACTGTCCGAGTTCAGGAACAGGTTCTTACCGAGTTTTGTGGATCATGTGAGATGGAATTGG